TATGTTCATTCAAACAATCATGTAAAGAAAAGTACTGTTTTCTGCATTGCTAGCTGAAAACATGATTTTTACTGTTACTAGTATAAAACAGCTAGATGCAATACTTCTGCATCCTCAGTTTCAGACCTCCGTCACAGAGCTCACTGCAGAGTACAAACTCACATTTTAACATTCCTGTAGAAAGCAATAAAATAACACTCACAGAGGAAACCTGAGGCAGCAACTGCTGATTTGCTCACTCACTAAGGATTGGAACACAGACAGCATGTCACATTTTTCTTCAGCCAAAATATAGAACAACAGTTTTTCATGTTAATGAAGCTTCTGCTGCTGCATAATGTTATTTGACCCTTGTCAGGGACAGAATGGTTCAGAAAGCCAATTCTTAGACTGCTGCTAACATTTTGTGGAGCTTTCACAAGAAGGGTTGAACTTCATGTTCACTGGAAGGATAACCAAATCTCCTTAAGCAAATGGTGCATGATCTTCTAGAACAAGTTCAGATTAGAATACTAGCACCTCAACCTATCAACATGTACTTTCTAACATCTTAAACAAATCACACAACTGAAGATGTGAGGCTAATATTCTCAGACACTTTCAGGAGCAGATTCTTCTCATCAGCAAAACCAGAAGATCATTAAGGTGCCTGTTTCAAAAGTCACTAAAATTAAAACGAAGTTATACCCTTAACATGAATAAAGATGACTAAATCAAGCTTTAAAAAAGTTGATCAATGAAATTTAGAAAAATTAAAAAAATATGTTAAGAATATTAATAACTACTTTGGACACTTACCTATCCCAGTGGGGATTAATTTAACAAAATTGAAAGTCTAGGACGCAAACTTGCAACTGCAATAGGGCATCAATGTCTGTTACATGTGGCAAAAGTTATTTTAAATGCAACTTGCATAAAAATGCATCCAGATGCATTTGTCTATGAAATTAGAAAAAAAAATCTGAAAATTAAACAAAGATTCACACAAAAACGTTAAAGGCAAATAATTTTAAATGTAAATTCTGTCTGAGGAGTAATGACTGGGAAGGTAGTCTTCATACAGAAAAAATGAAGACTACATTGCTAAGAACTAAATTTCTAATATTACATTCATCTTGAGAGCAAACACAGAATTCTTCAAATTAAGATTTATTTTATCATGAAACTCAGGGCATAATTTGACTTAATGCCTTGTATGTAAAAGCCTTCCTATGCCTATGCCAGAACTACATATTACAGGCAAGAGAATAAAGGAAAAAAATTAAAAATAAAAACAAAAACACCACCATACCACCACTAGCTTAAAGTGCTTGACTTTTCATGCCTCAACCCTAAACGTTAAAGCTCTGATCTAAAGCTGGTTCTAGCCAATAGCAGATTTTCTATTGTCTTCACTAGTTTTTAGGTAGGCATATTTAACAGAAAACAACTGTCACTGCAAAAGTGATGAGAGTTAAGTAGCAGAAACATACATTTATTTCATTTTCTCATATAAATAAACATGAACATTAGCTTCCATTGAAAGACTGATTTCCAGGATGTTTCTGTTCCTCTCAGTTTTAATATAACAATGAAGAAAACATAATCTTGGCAGATAGACAGAAACCAAACCTGAAATATGTAACACTCAGCATTACACTCCATATTGTTTGCCATCCAATCCTAACCAACATTTCTTCATGGTATGTCAGAGTATTTGATGAAGGACTAAGTCTTTCCAGCCCTCCCTGTTTTAACATTTGCCAAAGTCATCACCAAAAGTATATGCTTGCCACAATCCAATAGTAGTGAAATGAATGCCACGTTCTTGGTTAGGGACAATAACGAAAATAAACTGAACAGATATCTTCCCTTTGCAAAGCGATATCTGAGCCTCCGGAGGCAAAAACTTCTGTGAACTTTAATACCTAAATATTATTTTGTTCTTGTCTTAAAAGCACTTGCTTTTCCAGTAAACACATATAACTTAAAACTGCTATGCCAAGCATACTAATACAGACCAACGAAGTACTATCTAATCAAGGTGTCAGTGGGATGCTAAGAATAAGAACACAACTCTCAATTCATCACCAGCAACTCGCTACGTATTTAACTAGCACAACGTGCAACTCAGTCTGAGAGATAATGACATGGCAGTTGGGGGACAACATGGAGGTGTTTTTTTGACAGATAGAAAGAAAAAGCACAAAGCCATTGGGACATTTTCTTAGCTTTTTATTATTACTCAACTATATGGTTACCATAGGTTTGGGTTTTTTCCCTTTCCTATCACTTGTAAATAAAACATTTCAGCATGTAGCTCTTCACAAAGATAACAGCAAAATCAAGGACACTTCCCCCACCGCACCAATCCTCTGGAATCTGTTGAACAAGCAAGTGTAAACCTTTGATTTTTTCAGAACTATGCAAAAGTTACAGGCAAACTAATAGCATTCTGCTATACCTAATTTAAACACGAACTCTAACATCCTTAGAACTTTATTTAACAAAATCACTGGACCTAATAAATTTTTTGGATTCTATGTTTTGCCAAAGAACAGAAAAAAAACATAACGTGCACAATTCTGTCTCAAGATGACAACTTGAAGATGCCAACTCATAATGCTGATCTCAGACAAAAAGGAACAGCTTGATCAAAAAAACCCACATCACAGACCACAAATCTATACAACTAGAAATGCATGTGGTAAACTTCCTCACAGAAAAGAATTCCACAAAATTGAAGTTCGGATCCCAGACATCACATATCAAGAAACGTTCCACTAATGTTCATTTTTACTTGACATATAAAAAGCCTCTACTACTTATCCTTCCCTCTAAAAGTGTCCTCTTTGAAAATGTATTTTTTGGACTGCCATCAGACTGTGAGGTCAGGCTTTAGTGTGTTTTCACCCCATAGTCTTCAAATTAATTATTTTTAATATGTTCAGTACAGCTTACTATGCACAAACTTGGCTAGTTGCTGTGACTGCCTCCGACAGTATCTGGAATAACCATCTACTTGGACTGTTCAACCTTTTGCTTTCTGCATTCCTGGTCTCTATTTTCAACTTAAGACTACTCTCAGAACAATTTAAATTATATTATAAAGCTCACGTTCAGATAAACTTCAGTAAACATGAACAACTGGGGTTCAAACATTCAGGAAGTCATAAAATTTGGTATGCAGGCATCTCTTCAAGGCTCTCAAAACTAGGTTACAATAAGATGTTATGAAATGTTTTTAGAACAGCTCAAAAAACTCATTTTCTGATTTGCTGTCGATGAGGTCCTATTAGTGTCATCAATAAATACATGTATTTGTCTTTTATTTTTGGTCTTACCGAAACAGATAAATCTCATTTAATCGTCACCAATGAGTAACCTGGAAAATCATACAGCTTTCCAACAAACTTAAATTAAAGACTTCTCATTGCTATAATCCACCCATTATCCTGTCTGAAAATGCCGTTCTTAGCTCAACTGATTTTTACTGAAATAAAATAACTTGCAGAAACATCATGAAAAGGCAAGTAAGCCAGGATACATTAACATGTACTGTATAAAGCAAACATTTGTAATAAAAGTACGTTGCATTGTTTGGTTTTCAGATGAGAACACAGGACATGAAACCAGTTGCTTTGAGTACATAACCAAAGGAGAGGGGAATGAACTGTCCACACCTCCTTTCTGGGAAAGGATAACTTCAGGCACATCCCTAGACTGAAAAAGAAAAAAGCAAAGGAGGAAGAGGAAGGGGAAAAACAAAGGCACAGGGATTCACAGACTTGAGTTATTACTCATCTAGGAATATTTTGCCACTCACTGTATTTATATTGAGTTTGAATTTAATGAGATGAGCTTTTAGCATTCTCTTGCTCATCGATTCAGTGTATAAGATCTATTTATAGCTCTGCTAAGACTGTATCGATACTATGCTCTCTTTACAAGCTGCTCAGCGATGTTCATGCTAGAGGGGTTTTCTTCAAATCAACATTTATTTTGTAATAAATGTACAGGTACTGCTTTAAGACAGATGTCAAACATAAGTTTCTTTGGAACAGTGCCGCACAACATAAAAATAACAGTCATTTTTCCACCTCTAACCACAGAAAGGTGAAAAAGTAAGAAATCAGTCCCCTTCTCAGTGTAAAACAGGACTAAATACACATTCAATAGAAACTGCTTGGCTGTGGGAAGGAGGGGGGAAGGAAAGGAATTCTGCTTAAAGAACTACAGCAGAAAAGAAAGATTACAAAGACAGAACAGAAGCAGGCGTTTATAACAAGTTGGAAATGTTGTTAGTGCAAGTATTTTTCAGCCGGTGTAATCTCCTCAAGTGGTAAACCCAGACAGATTTTTGCTATAGGCAAACACAGGAACTAGGACGGGTTATGGACCTAATTACAAGATCTAGTGCATAAATTACTGTTGCTCCCTAATACATATAAAAAAAATATAGAAGAGCCATGAAACTCATTATGCCTTCATCTGCTCGCAGCACCAGGCTTTTATTTTGCTAAAAAACTCACAACTACACATCGCATTACAAAGTTGCTAAAATTTAAAAACTTTACTTATCAAACAATTGCCAAATCCTAGCACAAGTGTCACAGCAGGAAATGTTTTGTATCACAGCTGGAAGAACCTATGAGCTGACACCTGTTGATCAGCATAAATCAGTATCTCAGTAACCGACAATCATCCTCCCATATTCAAATTACTTTAATTTTTTTTTATTTCCACATTTTTCAACGATTTTTCGTGATGTTGTTATATTTTTATGTTTTGCTTGACTTGACATTTTTAACACTTCATTGATTAGAAACTATTATTTGCTACTGCTTTACCATTTTAAAGAAGTCAATTCCCCTCCACCCAAAAAGCATATTTTAAAAGCATCCATAAGTACAAAATCTCACTAATGGGTCTTTAAGCTGGGGGGAGGACTTGTTACAGTATAAACATAATTCTGAGAACACTTTTTGCTAGGTGTGATGATGTCACTCTAGACTACTCACTTCCCACATGAGCCTGCAGTCTGTGTTCCCATCCAGTTCCTGTGGCATTCGCTTCTCCCCTGCAAAGGGGCCAAATTTTTCACCCTAAGAAATAATTATAAAAGAAAAAGAATTAATGAGGGGGGGAAAAAAAAAGGCAAGTGAATTACCAAACTCCAGCAAAGGTATCATTTTCAGCTTCAAATGGAAAAGGACAGTTTTCCTTTGTCATCCTACTACATGCCAAGAAGGTGCACATACTTCAAGTTCAAATTCAAGCTGACTTCGATTGTTTGCATAGCTTGGAGAATCTCTTAAAACCACACCTTTCATCTACATGTTTATTTGCGCTTTGGGAAACACCATTTTTCTTTATTTTAAATAAGGCTGAAATTTACAAGTCAAATTTCTTACATTTCTTATAAGATTTTCAGGAAGCTCCTTGCAATAGACATCCAACTAAAACATAAAGTGTTTGGCAAGCACAAAGTTTACATTAGATTTATTTGCAAGATGATTTGCAACACTATTTTTTGAAGTGCCACAAATCAAAACACTGAATAACTGAGGTTTTGATCACACAGAGAGATTCGTTTAAAAATGTAGGGAGTATACACGTGTCTATGAATTAATTCAAGCCTTCATAAACAAAATTAAAATGTTATACCACCTGCTAGTTATAACACACACTGTGAAAGCATCTATTGATATGTTCTTCTAAAAGTTTTGGGTAGCAGTGTTTTTTTCCTTCACAGACGTCACACTAGCAGCAGGGTACATTATTTAAATAGACTTTCTTCTCATATAGGCTTAACTTTTTTCCCCTCCTTGTCCTTATTTGCAGTGATAAGGCTTGCAAACAAAAATGCAGACTGCTAGGTTCCTTTAGGCAGTATTCAGATCAAAAAGGTCTATATACTTTTAAGCATTAGAGATTATAACTATATAATGAAAAGTTACTTTGGTGCTTCTTTAAAAATAACAGTATTTTGGCTAATAAAAGTATCGATCTTGTCCATACATCACTTCCCACCAGGCACGTTCAATGATCTCAGAAACAGCCTGCTATATGTTTTCCCTCTTGCTTAGTTTTTACAGACTCTCTACAGGTAAAGTGCAAAGGAACAAGTGGAATGGAAAACTTCCAGGATCATTCCTCTTAGAAACAACCAATCAAATAAAAAAATCCTGATATAATAAACAAAGGAAAAGAAAATTGGCGTAACAAGGAACAGAATTGAGGAGCAATATTTTAAAATATGCACATCAAAGATTTCATTAGAAAGAACAGCAAAGCAAGAAGTAAAAAGAAGAACAGAAAACAATTGCAGCCCAAGCAGTAATCGAGATACAAACATGGGCAGTGATAGCAATAACTGGCACTATGGGTCTTCGTTTTCTTCGCTTCTCATTGATCTCCATATCACTCTTCATCATTTTGCTAATCAAATGAGGTCAGGGTTCCTCCCCTGCCAGCTTTACAAATCCTGGGATATGATATTCAGACTGAAATTTCCTCCTTCTTTAACCTTCATCAGCAATGAACGTGAAAATAGGTAAATACATGTTCTCAGCTTATGCTGAGTGCCATCCCAGCAAACATCCTGCTGTCTAATAGTGGCCGTGCAGGTATTACATGGGAGGCAATTTGCTTAGATTGTGGTGTTCGCTTAGATTAAGGAGGAAGAGGAGTTCAGATGGTGGCAAAGAAATCTGCTCTGGAAGTGTACAGTCCTATCTAGATCAGTAAAGTAGGTCCTTTCTGGAGCAGACACCTCCTGCCAAGCTGAACTGGCTTTTCCCATTCACTTAGAAAGTAACAAGTAGTTTTGGTGCAACGGGAAAGCAGCTCATGACAATTACTGAGCTCTAAGAGGGGGCATAATTATATCTGCAGAATCTCTCATTACCCATAGCAATTATCAAGATGAAAAGAAGCTTATTGGACTATAATCTAGATTAGCTCTATAAAAAGAGGGAAAAAAATCCATAAATTTAATATGGAAACTATTTGAGGATGCAATGAATGAGTAACTTGAAAAAGCTAGTTTCCCACACTCACTTCAGCAGCAGAGTAACACTTTTGAAGAGGGCATAAAGAGATTAATTTCTTCCTTAAGTACTCTGCAGGTTCCCACAACACTCACCTCAGTAATACTTTCATCCTTGCAGTCCAAAGGATCCCTAGATATCTTACAGAGCACCTACAGGATTAACTTTACCCATCGCTGACGCACACATCACACCTCTGGGATGAAGCACAGCAACATTTTAATACCACATACCGACTCAAAACAAGAAACACCACACATCCTTCTTACCTCAGCTACTCCAAGCCAATAAAGCTCTACTTCAATATGTTTAAGACCTTCTAAAAGCTCAAAACAATAGCAAAAGGAAAAGGCAAGATGCCTACCTCTAAATATAAAGTAAATATAACAGTAGGTAATTCAGATCACTAAGCACTTTTCACAGCTTCTCAAATTTGGAGAGAAAAAAGAAACTAGAGACAGCAAAACCTGATGTCTTAGAACACAAAGGTTCTTGGGGATATGTGTAATTATTCATTTGGCCTTTCAGAGCATTTCTTCATATACATATATTTATTAGTCCTAGTTAGTATACATATATTTCTTAGTCCCAGTTAATAAACATGCTATCTTATGCCACAATATATTGATCAAAAACATACTAAGACTTCAACTTCCTCTCTGATCAATAAAAGTGAGGCATACAACGTAGCATAAACTCAGCCATAAAATTCAAGGCATATCATTCAAATGTTAAAAAGCTATTTTCAACAGTTGCTTTCAAGAAAGCAGAAACAACTAGTCTTCTTCCAGTTGCAGCAAAACACTGAGAAATGTAGTGGCTCGCTGATGATTATACCAAGGGCCTTATGATACTGGTGCTGTAACCAAAGATCAGCTGTTGGAGAAATTACAAGAGAATCACAGCTTTTGTTAAGGTAACAAAACAAAAAGTTTCCACCTTTCATGATCACAAACAAAGCTTGAAAGCACAGCCTAAAGACGCTAAAGCAGATGGCAGACAACCGCAGTTCAAAATGTATTATTACCAAAACTTTGCTATGAGCAGAATTTTCAGAGGCCTACTTCATGATTACTTAGCACTTGGGGAGTCAGCACTGCAATTCCTGATCATCTAAAGATGTTCTGAAATGCGTTTTACTTTCCGTTAAGACAACTGCAGTTGTGAGATAGCAATACAGAGAAAATGGTGCAGCATTTGCTACTCAGGAACATAAGCTCTTACTTCACAATTAAGTGTAACATTTAACACCTCCTCCCAATCTCAAAGCTCCAAGGAATTAATTTAACAGCTATTAGCTTCTCTGTATCATTGCCACGAAGGGTAGTACTGCTGCCTCATTACTGGACAGGGGAACATGTTGAGAGCACTTCAGATGTCATTTTTCTTTCCATGGAAAAGAGTAACACACAGTCTAGCTATATCCAACATTATCCTCTGTGTTATTTACACATCCACCTCTCTTTGAACAGCTGTGGCAACACACGCGCTTATGTGTCCAACCATTTTCAGGAACACCTGTTTCAACCACTGCCCACAGAGCAACTCAAAAGCTGGTTCCTCAGCCTATGAAAGAGCAAAGCCTGCCTGTCATACATGTACTTTTGATCAGAGCTTTGCATACCACAATTGTCTGTGCTACCAGCACAGAGGATTCACTGCCAAAGCACAAGCCTGTAACAAACACTATCACCAGACACTCCTAATACAAACAGATCTTAAAACTGCCTCTGCCTTCACCTTTTGCATTCTGCATGCAAGACACGTCACACTTGCAATATTTCACTTTTGCTAAGGTGTCCTGTATGACATGCTCACACTTGCAGAGCTCTAACAGCATATACTTTACCTGTATAAAGAGAGATCGAAAGCAACATGGAATAATTCAGGCAAGAAAACGCTCTATTTTTCCTAGCATGCACCTCTAATGGTTCAGTTGACAACAGGAAAGGGGACTCAGATTCTGAACTCTAAACTAGCATTCAGAATTGATATTGACATGCAGATGATGGTTTCCGTGAGTTTCACTCTAGAGCTCGCTCCATTTCATAGTCCAGGGATTAATACATGCTAGTATTGTACAGCCTTCCTTGCTGTGTGAACTCCCAAAGTTTTCAAATCAAAGTTCAGAACCTCAGTGGAAAAACTTTAAGCCAAATGATAAAAAATTGTTCCACTTCCACTCCCCATTAACACTCAGGGACACCTTAAAAATGAGAGACCTCTACCCCATGGTGTCTAAGACTTGTTGATGAAACTACTGAAAAAATAGGCAGCCCTCTCAGAGCCAAAACCAGGACAAAGATGCAAAGCAAAACATACAAAATACATAGAAGCATATACAAATGCAAGGTTCATAACTTTCTTTATCTGTTCAAACAAGCCACCTGGATAGGTATAATTGGGATTTCAGATAATCGAGAGATTTTGAATGCAATGACGAGGTGTCAAAGGACATGACCTGGCTGGGGTATGAGACCTGCAGTTCAGCTGACACACATATTTCACAGACCCGGCTTTACATCCTGAAACGATTAATTCTATCACCCATCCCACCGAGCGCTAAAAGCAAGGAGGTGACAGGAGCCTGTGACCCACGGGCGGGTACCTCTACCTCAGAGGCACGCCGCGGTCTGAAGCCTGTCCGGAGGAGCTCTGCCCTCAGAACAGTGCCAGAATCACAAAGTAAGTTAAAAGAAACAGGGTAAACAAAAACCCACAGAGAAAACCTTCCGCCGATCT